CCAGCCCGAGCCCCCTCCCCGCATGGGGGGCAACGTTGGGGAAACCCACACCAGGGGCACCGGCGGGACCCTACGTGACTTTTTCAACATCCTCAGTAAAGAAGAGCTGCTAATTTTTAAAATTTTTTTAATGTATCTGGAGTAATTAAGAATCCCCCATGGTTTTGGAAGGAGATTTATTGCCTTTGGTTGTGGTCCTTGGAACACAGAGGAGCCCAGCTCTGCTGAATTTAGCCTTGTTCTCCCAGTCATTTTGGATGCTGAAGCTTTTTACGCTACTCGAAAGAAAATTTGGCTATAAATAGACACATGGGATTTATTTTAGTAGGACAGTTATTTTAGGCCTGATTCTGCTCTCCCCCGTGCTTTCTGGGGTGGTCCTGAGCTACTCAGAAGGGGAATGGAAATCCCAATTTAAGGGGATGCAAAGCAGAGCTTTTTCAGCAACAGGAAGACAAGCGTTCAGCTCTGCAGGCTCCGCATGACACAAAGAGGGACGACCACAGCCCACCACCCTCATCGCTGCCACTACGGGGTCCAGGTGCAGGAAAACCTTCATCCCAGACCGTTAAACTTCAACCACTCCAGGGCTGCTCTTCGCATCGATCGAGGCAGCCCCACCTTCACAACAAGGGAAAGAACCACACATCCTCGCAGGTACAACAGGTATTTAACAACCTCAGAGCTTCACGCTGGAGCCACTCAATGGCCAACAGCGTTGGGGAGGAGGAGCAAGAACCCAGGGGTCCCAGCCACTAGCTCTGTCCCCAGCAGCTGGGATGGTCTCCCCATCCAACCAGTGCATTGCAGCAATTCCCCTTCGATCGGGATCCCTTCTGCAAAAGGAAATCACTCAGCGTTTCTCTCCAAGCTACTGGGAAGAGTAGGACAGTCATGGAAACTGCCTGGAAAAAGAAGATGGGCGAAACCGCCGTGCAGTGAAGCAAAGGACAAGCATGTAACTTGGCTGAGCAATGTGTGTGTGTGTGATTGCTATCTATGAGTACTGGAAAGCCAGAAGAAAATAATTTTGGCTGGGTCAGAGTGTTTAACTGGAACTAAATGAAGACTGAACAGCAAATGAGATCCCAGCAGAGAAAGTTGTAGACTTTAAACCAGAAAGACCCGCTATAATGGGAATGCAAGACTGGAAGGGCTCTGCTCAGTCATCACACCCCATTCCCACCAGGCACCACATCATAAATCCTGCTCATAAACATATCAGAAAACTTATTAAAACAAGCTGAGCTTCTGCCCTTCACTCCCCTGGGGAGGCCATCCCAGAACCTCCCTGCTCAGAGCCTGGAAAACCTTGAAAACCCCAGCTGAAATTATTTTGCAGCTTGTTTGCCCCCATTCTGAAATGTGGCAATGCCCGTTGCTTATTCTCTCTGGTGACACCTCCCCCACGAAACCACCTTGAAGATGCACATCAGAGGAGATCACCCAGAAACTGCTGCACCTGCAGTCAGGCTCAAAAAGACTCAGGTATCTTTAGTCTCTCTAAGGAAGCAGTGGGTGGTCCATCATCTAAATATCTAATGCTGAATGATGGTACAGAGAAGTATAACCTAGAAAACATTCTGCAGTGGAACAGGAGAAAAGCTCGTGCCCTGCTACATCTTTTCCAGGTCTGTGGTTTAAGCTAAACAGTTTTACAAAGACCAAGAAGCAGCTGAGATACCCAAAACCCATTGAACATAAAAAAAAAAGAGGTCCTTTCCACTATGTCCCAGTACCAGCCCAGTTCTACCTGGACCACCCCAACAGGGTGAATGGGGATTGAGGATGGGGACCTCAACTCAAATTCAAAGCAAACCACGAGTGCCAAAGATAATCCTGCACCCAGAAAGTGTCCTCCTACAAGTGTCAATCCTACATTTCAGCTGCCACAATTTAACCCTGCGACTTTTTGTCCTAGCTGGACATCTGGAGAACAGACCGTGCCCTCTCCCCAGAAACCATCTTCTATCTGTGTGAAGACTCTTAGCATGTCCCTCCTTGGCCATCTTTCTCCAGACTACAGCCACCCAACAGATGCAACCTTTTGGGATCAGTGCAGCTTCCTCACCTTGACTCAGTCCTGCTACTCTCCAAGACAGGCCAACCCTTACCTGAACTCACCTGGTGTGAATTCAAGCCACCAGCGATGTGAACCCCTACCCATCTGCATTCCCCAGGGCTTTAAACCAAGGCTAAAGGAAGGAATTAGAAGGCAGCTGCAGGAGCAAGCGGGATCCCACCTACCTGGGCATATTTTACAGCATTTCCCATCTACTTTCTCTGGATAGTCACAAGGATAGTCCTTGGGGCATGTGATCTTCTGGCAGTCCTGGATACCATCCCTGCAAGTGCAGAGGATGCAGGGCAGGAGGCCGTAGAGACGGAAGACAGGGTGCCACACCTCCCCATGGGAGTAGGTCTTCCCATTGTAAACACAAGCTGGAGGAGAGAGAGGAAAGAGTTGCTGGTGGAAATAAATCCTCCTCCTCTTTGTACATCCAAGGCTTGGTGGAGCTCAACACATTTCACCGCCTCAGAAATGGCTGGCCCTACTGTCTTGAGGAACATAGTCCTCTGGTAGCATGTCCGGCAGCAGAGGACACAGGGATATTGCAGCCACCCCACCCAGGAGGTGCCATGGGGCGGAGGAATCAACTCCAGGAGATGGAGGCTGCTGGGGTCAGCCACCCTGGTGGGGGTGAGTGGCAAGTGTGGGCAGGACCTCACCTGCCTCCAAGCCTCTGCAAGCCCAGGGTCTTTCCGAAGCTGTCATGGGCATGAAGCACAGTGAAGAGTGCCACCTGCTGACTCCTCCATGAAAATTTTTGGAGGTCCCAAAATTTCCTCCAGGGCTTCACCTCCAAGGACTGGAAAGAGCCCTTCTGGAGAAACAGTGGTGGGAGACCCCCCAAGGGGAGGAGGCACCTGTCTTTTCTCCTTTGGCTCCATGGGGTTGCCTCTTCATCTTGCTTTCCCACCTTCCTCCAGGAGGAAGACCACAGCACTGGGACAGACCCAGCTCATAGCAGGTAGGTGCAAGGAGGAACATCCTGTCCCTCTGCAGCACTGTCCCAGGAGGACCATGTGGAGTCTTCCAGCTGAGCACCTCCCTTCCTAGATCTCCAAAACACCCCAGGGACCAATCTTCTTCCAAGCCTTTTTGGAAAGTGGTAGATTCATGCAATCAAGAGCCTGTGGGCCACCAGGCCTGAGATAGCTGCGTAAGGCTGGCTGTGGAGGAGTGGTAAGTAGGACTTGGTGGTGGAAAGCTGCTGCTGAAATAGATTCCCTGGAGAATTCAAAGTCCTGGAGAAGTCACCTTAGGCCACATACAGACTGCCTGGCCCCTCCATCCCTTACCTTTCTTGTGCTTCTCTTTCAAGACAATCTTCACGGTGGTGCCACCTCCTCCCTTGGGTTTGAAGCTCCTAGGGATGAACTCCAGGGAGGAAGTGAGAACAGTGGACGCGGTAGCTCCAGGTGGCTTCCTTCCCATCGCCTCCCCCAAGCACTGGTCTTGTGAGTGCCTCTGTGAGCAGTCAGAGAAAAGAAGGGGACTCAGATCCAGGCAGTTGGGTTGTTCTCACTCCAAAGCACATTGGAAGAAGCCACGTAGTGTCCTGCATACCTTCCACCAGCAGTGGAAGGTCCAGAGACCACAGGGATGAGCAATGAATGACCCAGGAGCCATCTCAGTGCCTGCAACTGCCTAAGGGATGCCGAGCAGTTTGTGTCAATGCCCCACACCAATGTCCTCCCTATGCTGCATGGGGGTCACTCTCATTGGGGCAGCACCCTTCTCATCCCACACTCAACCCAATGCCCTCAGGTGAGGTCCTACATCACTGACACAGGCACAGAAATGGGCTGGTCTTTTCTAGATGCCTGCTGGGAAACTGAAGACCAGCATCCGTGCAACCCAACCCGGATCAGAGAGGTAAGGACGGGCCGTGTCCTTGCCCTCTCACCCGGTTGGCACCAGGAGGGTTGGGGTGGGGGTGCCAGCTGGCAGGACTGAAATCCCGGGAACATCCCGGCCTTCCAAGAGCAAACTGCTGGCACAAGACATGCAGCACAAAGGGTCCCCTGTGTCTATTTTGGAGGTTTTATAGGTGGTTGGAGGTGTGACGCTGGCGTTTCACCCAGCAGTATGGAAAAGGGCAGGGCCGGGATCTGTAAGTGACCTAATCCCACAGACCTGGCATGGGCCGCCCAACTCTGAAATGTCACCGTGAATCCACCCTCGGCAGCCAAGGATTCACTTTTTCCTTGCCGGGGCTGCCGATACAAACAGCCTAGGGAAAGCATGCTGGTGGCCAGCTCCAGCGCTGGCTGCTCTGTGGGAGCTGTGACTGGGAGGCAGAACACCTTTGAGGCCAGGGTGGAGAGGAGACACCAGTTCCTGAAGCAAAAGCCCCCAAAGAGAGATTTGGGCCATCTGACTCTATGCGTAAGGGTTGCGTCTGGCTGTCAGTCAACTCTGAGCCTGCTCTGTCCATGTTCCTCAGCTGTCTTAGTCTACTGACCAACCTCAGGCAGGTTGGCCAACAAGGAGAAGTGACCAAGATTTCCAGTTCCCACAGGTCTTTTGCTCTTCCAGACATCAGAGAAGACAAGAGTCTTTCCCTGGTGGTCTGAGGTCTCAGCCTATGCTGAAAGCCCTCACCTAAAGTCAACTGACAGACATGTTTCATCTGCAAACCAGGTGTCCGTGGTTCTGCTGTCCAAGGAACTGATTGCCCTCCTAGAGCTGCTGTGGGCCATTTTTTTGTAGAAGACTATGGCCAAGGCCAAATGGCTTGCTTTGAGCTGTTTAATGGGGCTGTGCTAGAAGCAATAATCTGAGTTTTAAAATGCAAACGTTACGTACAACACCTCTGTTTAACTGCAGGGGTTCCTCTTCCGTGGACTTCTCATAGGAGCCATCTGCAAGGAAAGAACATTGTCCTGTGAAATGCAGCAGGGATGGATGGTGATTTGCTCTCTGGGGTCCAGCTGACTACCAGCAGCTCTCTTCAGGGTGCTGGCCCACTTGCAAGGTCTGGAGAGAGAAGAGCTTCAAATATGCATTTCACATCACCCAAAGCAAATGGGAACCACACCCCAAAAACCCTTTTATCCCCACTGACTATTAACAACAGCTCAGCTCCATGAAAGGCCTTGCAGACTTCTGAAGTTAGGTGTCATGAAAACACTCCAGAGATAGAGTATGAGGTGATGGGGATGATTGAAAAGAAATCCGAAGACATTTCTCACCAAGTCAATGACATGCCCCAGTGGCACCTAAGAAAACAGGTGAAAAGAAAGAAAAAAGAAACGAAAGAGAGAGAGGAACACAAATTGCAGAAGGGGAGAGTTTGGAGGAAGCACCTGGGGGAGGTCGTTCTGTGTCCATGGCCAGGAGACCACCATGGCCTTCCAGCTTCATAAATATTTCTCATATTAGAGAGTCATTTTATGCTGTGTCTTCATTGTCAGCAGGGTGTGAACCTGCCCATTGGCTCTTGAGCCTGTCTCATCTGGAGACGTGGAGCTTGATTCTCTCTTCACTCTCCCAGGTATGAGTCAGGGGAAACAGCAGCAAATTCAAGAGTTTCTCCCCCACGGAGAGCTGTGGGAATGAAACTCAGCCATGCTGTACTGGGGTGGAAGAGGGGTTTTCCCTGACTGTCCTGGAAACTTCCCTGGAGCAACAGTAGCATGCACCATCTTTACATGGTCCATACCACCATCTCCATCCTGGTGGCTGTGTGGTCTGGAGGACTTTGCCCTCCGTGCAGGTCACACCTCTTGCACAATGCACCAGTGGCAGGGCAAAATGCTCAGCCCTGGCCAACGTATGGGCTGCAGGAAGGCAGGACACGACTAGGTGTGGAAGGGGAAGCGTGCAAGAAAAAGACTGAGCCCTCATCTTTTTGATTCCTGGTGCAACCAAGACATAGCAAGTGGCCTGATTCACAGCATAGACTTCCAAAATCCTGCTAAAGTGGCTTGAAATGGCTCATGCCAGCTGGTGGCAATGCCTAAGTCTCCCAGCCCTTGCTCAAGGGTGGCTCCCGGGCCCCTCATTACCTTTGCAGACCCGGCAGCAGGAATCCGGCACAGTTAGGGGAGAGGAACACAACAGCTCCGGGCAAGTCACCAAGCCGCAGTAAATCTGGCCTTCCTAGGAGGGCAGGAGATTAAAAAAGCATTGTCAGCGTTACCAAGGTCCGGACAGGGCTGTGCGTCCTGGCATTGGGGTGCCAGAACCTCAAATTGCACAATCTAGCATAAATCACATAGTCCACCCTCAAACATCACCAAGCAACTGATGAAAGCTGAAAATCTGTCCCGCTGCACTCTTCGTCCTGTGGGGTATAGAATGGTGGGTGGTGTCCTCTCCTAGCTCGGCTGGCCCACCGATTGCCAGTCCACATGCTCATGAGTGGAGTGGTCTTCCCCAAAAAGGGGGAGGCAGTGCCGTGCTCTCGGGCACTGCTAGTGCTACTAGATCTGAAATAGCCACCACATGCCTGCAGACTCTGCATAACACCCACCAATTCAAAGTGGCACGAGAACCTTTTCTCTGACACCTTCCCAGGACAAGTAGTTGGAGGAGACAGGTGGAAAGGAAAAGCATGATGCTGAGTCCAGACCCAGGTCCACGCCGCAGTGCTGCCCTCCCTCTGTGTTGGGTTATCCGATAACACCAGAGCCAAGCACACAAAGATGTTGGGCCCAGAGATGTGGGTGGACGCTCAGGTGTAGACCTTCTTCCACTGGCTTGGTGGTTAGTTTGGAAAACATCATTGTTGTAGTGATTCAAGCTGAAAACCATGGGCCAAGGCCAGTCCTGACCTTAGTGCATCCCAGTCCCACCTCAGTCGATGGAATTGCACCTGTTTGCTGCAGGGCTAAGTTTTTCTGCTTTGCAGAACGGTAAAAAAGGATGTTCAGCAGCCCAGAAACAGCCAGACCTCAACAGCAAGGTCCTCTTCTCCATGCAGCAATTTTCTTTTGGGTATTCCCAAGCTCTCTGTCAACCAAAACCAAGTTTCACCTTAGAAAACCAAACCACAGCAGCTTCTTCTACCACCAGGAAGCCAAGCCGTTGTACAGGGGGCATGTAGAGAAGAAAGTAAGTTTGGTAAATGAGAGAATCTGGTGGAGGTTGCGGCAAACCAAGCCCTGCTCTCCATTTCAGGGACCTCCATGGCGTCCAGACCTGCAAGGAGCAGGGTTTGGCCACGCAGTCTCTTCCTTCTTTCTCCTTCTGACCGGCAGCTCGCGGCGAAGACCTGCCTCAGGCAGGAAAGAGCAAATGTCATAAAAAGCAGGATTTATCCCAGAGGCTCTGGTCTTGGGGCGCTTTTCAAAGAGGTTTAGACCAGCTGTTCACGCAGCTGTTCCAGCAGCTGACAACATGAGACACAGCCCGGCGAGACCCCGCCGCTGCAAGGCTCCACAGCCATCCTTTTATTTTCCCCTTCGTATCCAAGGCATTACCCTGCCGAATAAACAGAGCCTGAGCAAGAGCCAGTGCCTCCGAGAGGGACACGCAGGTCTGCAGACTCCTGGGGATGGTGGCGGATGGGGTGGGAAAGCAGGGCCAGGTGGGCATATACAGTCAGGTTTGAGGGCTCTTTCCTGGCATTTGTCCTCAACCTGGTGGGCTGGCATCTGGTTGGGGTCCATAAGAGAGGAACCAGCCTCAAAAGCTGTATAATTTCTACATCTAAGCTATTGCTCTTGCTGCCTAGCTCCAAGGCGCGCACAAGCACTAAGGGCTCAGACCAGCTATCGTGGTATCACAGATACTTTACTACCAAGCATCAGTGATGGTAACCACCGTGTGCATGCTCTTGACATGAGAGAAGGAGGTGGCGTGGACTCTCTCAGCCCTTTTTCTTTCCTGGCCAAGCTTAGTCAAATTATTTGCTGCAAGCAAAGCACAGATCTGTGGAGCCTGGTCCCATCCAAGGGCTCTGTACGATGGGCAGTGAAAGCCAAGTGTGCAACCCTCTTCTTTTTTATGGCAGAGGCTGTAGCTGCTGCAAGCAGTTCCCCGCAGCATCCAAGTCCAGCGTTGGCACTTTCTATCTCCCTTCTTCTCTCCTTCTCAAGGAGGAGGAGCTCCATTTATCTCCCAACACTCAGCTCCTGGCACGCACAGCCCCACACTCCACACACCTTGCCCACCGCCGCTGGCCAGGCTGCCTTGCGTCTCCCGAGCAAAGCGTCAGGGTTTGGGTTTTGATGTTTTTTGCAGGATCCCAGACTGTGGAAGAGGGCTGGGCAGAGCAGAGCCAAGCTCTGTCTCAGGGCATTGCTGGAGGCTCAGGGAGAAGGAACGACCCTCTGGTGCTGGCAGACAGATGGTGGATGGGCAATCCATCACGGGGATGCACACTGAGGACGACACAACATCCTGGCCACTATCGCAGCCCTCAGGTAGGGCAACCAGGACCACCAATGCAGATGGGCATGCAATGGTCCTGCAAAGGTCATTGCAACTCAGCATGAAAGGCAGACACTTCCTGCAAATGCTTTTTATAGACAGCCTGAAAAGCACATGGACAGCCCTGCTCCAGGGCACAGCTCCACGCACAATGGCCCAGAGGGCTCGTGAACACACTGCAGGGGTTTCCAGATGAGATCAGCTGCTGGTGCTTAAGCACATCTCAGCCCTGGGTTTAGCTGCCACCTAAATCCAAGCAAGATGAAGATCACTAGGTGCTTGCCCATTGCCATCTCTGCCTGCTAGGCTCCACTGCCCCTGTCTCTCTGCTGTCATCTCCTGGCTGTGTTGGGGGGTGAGCTCCAGCCACACAGGGCAGGAGCTGGCTGCTGGAGGCACTGCGAGTCCCCAGCACCCAACAGTGGTTGGGAGCCACCAAATCCTTTCCAGAACTCAACTCAATCCCACCAGCTCAACACCAGGCTCAACGTCCCAAGAACTTCTGAAGCCCAAAAGCTGGCACCTCACGTCCGTGTTGCCTTGCAGGCAAGCTGAGCTCCCCCAGGTTCCCCTGGCTACAAGTCCCATCTGCTCTGCAGCAACCCCATGTGCGGAAAGGCTCCCGGTTGTCCTCTCTGCTGGCCATCCGCCGTGCGATGCCGCAGTGGGGCAGGTGGGATAGCTGGATGATGAAGGGACAGCCCCAGAGCGCTGGTCCTCGCAGCAGGCAAAGGCACCTGTTGGTGTGCTCAATGGGGACAGGGCTGTCCCCCTGCCCATCCCAAGGAGCCCCAGTGGGTTCCACCCAGAAGTGGCCCATGGGATATCCAGCGAACAACCCAGCCTTGGAGCAGCTTGTTTGTGCTGTTCCCACTGGGGAGGAGATGCAGGCGAATGCTTTGTGCTCCAACCCCAGAGCCCGGTGGACATTTGCAGCACGCCCTGCTCGGGGTCAAGGCCAGGTAACACACCCGGGCAGAGGGGGAAGCACCCAGCTCTGCGGTGGTCCTTAGTCACTGGGCAGGGAGGACCCTGCACCATTTCAGAGGAAGCTCAACCTCCTGCGCTGATAACCTGATCCTGATGAGAAACCATCCCACCATGGGCTGGCACCACCCAATGGTCCTCACAAGGCTTTTGACCTGGTGAGACATTGTTGGGGTGCAGGAGCAGACCCTGAGCCCTCCCCGCTTCCCGTGGGCTCGCGGGTAGCTTACGGAGCAGCTGCACTGCACACACTGGTTCGGCTGGCGGCTGGGAAAGAGCTCGCTGGTGGTGAACATCTCGCCTTGCTGGTAGGTTGTCCCATTGTACTGGCAGGACTTGACTGGTGCCCGGAGGCCAGAAGGGGAATGCGGCTCTGGAGAAGAAGATGAAAAAGCAGCGGAATGAGAGACGACTCTTGCCTGGCCCCAATGTAGCGCAGATGCTCAGCAGATTCTCCACTAGCCCAACCCAAAAGGACAAGGAGCCCTTCATACGCCACGGTTATGAGGAAGAAGTGGCCAGGACACTGCATGGCCCGCGGCTGTTTATGTGCCCAAAAGCTTTTGGAGAACGGGGCTGCCCTGATCGCGCAGAGCCCAGCACAGAGGGGAAACCTGGAAGTCTGACCTCCCAAGGTCCTGTCCCCTGCTGTGCCAGAGTAGTGGCAAAGCCAGTCAAAAAACACTGGCAACTTGGGAAATTAAAAAAAAAAAAAATTAAAAACGCACTATTTTAAATGTTTAGCTAATTGCCCATCGGAGAAGCCTTTTTTATCTGACTGAATCTGATGTTGAGGGTCATTACATCTGGAGGAGGGAAAAATTCAAGAATTTTCTTTAAAATCTTCAATTTTTTTTTCCTGTATCCAACCCATTTTGCTGGCAAATGAGCTGAATAAAGTGCCAGCTTCCACTTTGTCCCTGAACTGTGAACTGACGCTTTGTCTGTCCCTACAAGGCCCTCAGGATGGGGGAAGAGTTGGATAAAGAGGTCTGGTAGAGAGTCCTTGTCCATCAAAATGACATTTTGGGGGGAAAGAGCAACGCGGGCAGCCCGAGCTGCCATTGCTGCCATGACCCTGTGAGCAGGGCCAGACCCAGCACCACTGCGCTGCCCCAGGCGTGAGCATTCAAACGACTGCAGCTGAGCTACACCCTCTCCCCATGGGATGTCCACCTACCGAGACACCGCGGGCAGCACTGCTGGGGGTCCGTGACCGGGCTGGCGCACTGCAGAGCTGGGCACTGGATCCGGTAGCACCTGATGTTGGTGTTCTGGGGAGAGACAAAGACGGTTTGGTCAGCTACGCATTCACCACTGCGTGAGGAGGAAGGTGTTGGATGATGGCCCCATTATTACAACAGATGGTGCTGGTGTAGCTCACCCAGCGAAGGATGTCTCCATCCCTGGCTCAGACCCTGCTGTCAGCCAGCTCAGGGTCTCATCTCTCATCATCAAAGACCACCCGTGGTCCCACAGCAGTCCTGAGCCACCTCCACCCACAGCTCACCAACGCTACAGAGGCAGCTCCCTCACAAGGTCAACCCAACACCCCCAAGGGGATGTGGGGCTTCTTTAAAAGGAAAGAGCTTAATCCAACATCCCTACGGGACTGCAAAGGGCTCTTCCAGTCAAATTAGACACCAGAACCAATCTGCTTACAAGCTGCCAAAGCAACGCCCCAACACAGCAGCATCCCCACCACCTGCCGCGGCACCTCATGGGGGACGTGCCTCGGAGCAGCTGCAGCGGATGCAGTACATCAGCCCCTGCGGCTCCAGGTAGGGGTGCCAGCTCTCGCCCGGGCTGTACTTCTTGCCGTTGAAGTCACAGAACATATCCGGCCCTGCAAGTCAACCAGGAGAAGCTATGTGAGAGAAAGGGACAGTTCCTGGGAGAGCTCTCCTCCCTCCGTGATGAGATGAGCAAGGAGAGCTCCGTGCTTTCATGCTGCTCCCCATGAGTAGCTGATGGCCATGACCACCAGACACCAGACTGAATACATTCCCCAAAAGCCTTTTTTTGGCCATGATTTGTTTTTTTAGGCTGGGACCCATCTGACCAAATGGCAACTCCTCTGAGCAAGCTGGAGTCCCTTTGCAGAAAGGAACAGAATGGGTGTTTTCCAGGCAAAAATTAGAGTTGTCACTCTAAAGTAGGTCAGTAGAAGTGTTCACTGGAAGATGGACAGGTGATTTCAGGGTGACGCTATGGGGCTGAATTTCCTCTGGGGAGACCAGAAGGGCTGGGAGTGGTGGGGGAGGTATGAGAGCCTGAATTTAGGACACATTTTCACTGTTACCCAAAAAAAGAAGGAAAAAAAAAAAAAGACAAACATTTTGGAGTAGAAACACATTCTGAAGAAAAACCTTCTGCTCCCCCTAAGAGCTTCAGCTTATTCTCCCAAAGACCCCTGGCCAAGCGTTATCAGCACATGGACAGACAAGCATCAGCCCTAAGGAGCAGGACCGTGGTGGCTTGCCCTATCCCACCAGGCTCAGCCCCTTGGCTCTTACTGGGCTTGACACGGCGCTGGTCTGGCTGGAGTGGGTTGAACAATGTTCTTCGTTTATGGGGCTATCCATGTGGACAGTAAGACCACCTCATCCACTTTTTGCCCCAAAAAGCGCAAAACCATGTATTTTTCTATTCCTCCCTGACCCTATCATCCTAAGAAGAGCCAGTTTCCAGCCATGCTCCTGAACTGGAGGTATCTGCCCCAGAAACAATCCAGCCCTGCCTACACTTCCACAGCACAGACAGGGACGTGAGATGGTGCCCAGCATGACTGGTGAAGGAGATCCCCTTTGGAGATCCACCCTCTCCCCGGATTATAGCAGGTCCCTATCAACCCCCTCCATCTCCAAGCCCTTGGTTATACACCAACCCTTTGGCAGCATGAGGCCAGGCTGCAGCACGACCTGTGGGACAAACCGTGGCCATAATCACCACCAAAAACCACAGGGTTTTGGTCAGAAAGTCCAAGTCAGTCGTCATTAATGTTCAAATCAAAAAGCATCACCTGGTCCTGCAGGACTGAGCTCCAACCCCAGTTGGACCTGCAGGAACCTGGACCCCCTACCTGCTACCGCATCAGACCTCCTGCTCTCCCGTGGCCCGTCCCCAAGCCCTGACCAGCTGGAGGGATGTGACAAGGCTTAACCTCTTTCGTGAATAAGCACACGCCCGCCCATGTGTCTTATTAGCGGTTTCAGCGCTTACAGCCACACTAAAAACTGAAGGTGATTTAAAAGGTTATGTCATCAAGGGAATTTGAGGTAGTTTGGTCAATTACATCGCTTGAAGGCAGTGGAGGTATTTATGCTCCTTACAGCATTTATGGGTCTTTTAAAACCTTGTGGTGCCCTGGAGATGCGGGGAGAGGGGAGATGGCTGTTTTCCGAGGCGTGGTGCCCAGCTCCCAGCATGTGAAGTCGGGCAAGCTAGCAGGTGCTGACCCCGCTACGCCGCTGGAGGGACTCCTTAATGAAGAACAGAGGGTCCCCAAAATGAGCTCGGTGACGTTCACCACCCCGAAGAAGCTAAAAGCCATCCCACACGCTGCTTTGTCACCTGGGGCAACACAGCGGCTTAGAGAGCCTGGCTGGTGTTGTCTCACCTTGCCAAAGCTGGAGATGCCACCTGCTTAATGCGAGTGATTCTCCCACCAACCACGCAAAACTCATATGAATACGCTGTGGTGGGCTGCTGTCCCTCCTCTAGCTCCTGACCATCCTCAGGTCAGGATGAACTACCATGGCCAGACCCTGTGGCCATCAGGAAGGGCTGCCCTATGGGTCTATGACGATCCTTATGGGTCCCTTCCAACTCAAGCCATACAGGTCTGCCAGCAGCCCTGAGCTCCTCATTGAATTGGTGGCTTCAAGCACATGATTCTCCAAGTTGTACCTTCAAAGGAGGCAGCCACCAGCTGTCCAGACCACCCAGCCCAAGCGCAGCATTGTGGGGCCAGTGTTGCATCTGCAGAGGTGGAGATCTGCAATAATTTTGCAGTGGATGACATCAGAGGGACAGGCAGAGGCATTTTCCTTCCTTTTCCCTACTCAGGCCTTTACATTGTCCCCATAGCTTGCTCCAAACCTCATGACAAGTCAGCGAACCCGTATTCCTGGCCATCCACGACGCAAGCTTACAGCAAACCACACAAGAATGGGGAGCATGTGGTTGGAAACTGCAGAAAACCAGAAGAGAGGGGAAAAAAAATCCACAAAACTAAAAAAAAAAACCTAAAAAAAAAAAAAAATCATCATTTTGCAAAAGGGTATGAAAATGACTTCATTTTTCCCTGCTTGCAGCATCTTCATGAATTACACTGAGGGTGAAGAAATCAAGTTGCCTTCATGTGACGCGGCTCCGCTCAGCTTGCAGGCTCCCATGCCAGTTGGCTTCTTCGTTCAAACATTTAATCACAAGTGGAGCTCTGGTTTGGGTCCAGCCCTCGAAAGCAGCCTGATTCATGTCTGCAAAGGGCCCGCTGGTAAAATTAAAGCCGACTGGCAGCGCTGGGCAGCAGCAGACACTTGTCCGCATCTCAGTAGCACTATGCCACGTATTTGGCAAGAGGCACCGGCATGTTTGGTTAAAAGCAAGCCGGGGATGGATGGAAGGAGGAGGCTTAAAAGCTGGAGGCTCTGGATCACTTTTTCCCATGCCAGGCTAATAATTTCATTTTCAGAGGTCAAACTTTGGATATTTTCCCAATTCACTCAGAGTGAAAAGGCATTTGTGGCAGTAAACTGCTCCCGTGCCGTTCAGTCTCCTTATTTATTGCGTCTTCGGCAACAGCACGCTCACAAAAGTCGCGTTGTTTTACTTCTCGTTTTCCAGAGAGGGCTCTTGAACTGCGGAGCGGTTTCAAGGCTGCAGTACCAAAAATCCAGATGAAGCCATCACCTTGGTTTCCTTCCTGAGGACCGCGTGAACCCTGGGCAGGAGAAGACAGTGGGCCAACCTGGTCCATACCACCCTGGGGACATGATCAGAGCTTGCTGATAGCAAGCCAGAGGCTCCACACTTGGAGATGGCCCTATGGGATCTGGAAGGAAGAGCAGAGGTGGGAAGGGGCAAACACTTCCCGTTGCAAACACCTCCAAGAACAGGTCCCATCTATCAGGTTTCTTCCCAAACACAAGAAGTCCCCGATACAAGATACAAGATACAAGATACAAGTACTATTATGGGTATGAACCAGAAAAAACAACTGAAAGATGTGGAAATGATTCCTCTGCTGCCCAGCAGCAAGTCCTGTGGCCTCCTGCCCAGAGGAATGGTGGGAGATGCTGCAGAGAGCAACTCCTCCATGTGGGAACTAGTCTGTCTTGCCCACCCTGAAGGGCTCTGCTGCGGACATAGAATCATAGAATCATAGGATTTTGGGGTTGGAAGGGACCTTTCAAGGCCATCTAGTCCAACCCCCTGCAGTGAGCAGGGACATCTTCAACTAGAGCAGGTTGCTCAGAGCCTCATCCAACCTGACATCATGGAGGAGGAAGGTTTCTCCCTGCCTCCCCATCCAACAGCCATTTGCTGAGGTGGCTTCAGCATTTTCCTGGGTGAGAACCACCTAGTTAACATCGAAATCATTGAATACCCCAGGCCAGGGTCTGGGGCCAGTGGCCTGACCCAGCTCATGTCCATACCCACCTCCTGGAACTGCCCCAGCCCAACTGTCCCCAGGCATTTGGCAAAGACCAGGTTGGCACTGGACAACACCATGCTGGGGGTTGCACCTGCAGCAAGAGTCTGGACACCTCTGGTCAATGCTCAAGGCTGTGCCTGGGTCCTGGTTTACTTTGGTTATCATTAATTGTCATTAATTATCATTAATTTCATCCTGGATGGCAAGGAGGGTATGAAATATGAAAGTACAAGGGGGAGGACAAAGCAAGAGAGCACTGTTACAAAGAAAAGGATGGTCTCTGGCCATGGCAGGGACAAGAAGAAGCAATCAGCTCAGGGCAAAGCCTGGAAGATTTAGGACAGGTATTGTGGGAAGCTTTCGAGCTACCAGGAGACTTAAGCCCCAGAAGAGGCTGTCACAGAGACTCTGAGCCTGTCGTGGTTTAAGCCCAGCCGGCAACTAAGCCCACGCAGCCGCTCGCTCACTCCCCCCACGGCGGAACGGGGGAAAGAATCAGAAGGGTAAAAGTGAGAAAACTTGTGGGTTGACATAAAGACAGTTTAACAGGTAAGGAAAAAGTTGCACACCCAAGCAAAGCAAAACAAGGAATTCATTCACCACACCCCATGGGCAGGCAGGGGTTCAGCCATCTCCAGGGAAGCCGGGCTGCATCATGCGTAACGGTGACTCGGGAAGACAGACGCCATCACTCCGAATACCCTGCCCTTCCTTCTTCTTCCCCCAGCTCTATATGCTGAGCATGATGTCGTACGGTATGGAATATCCCTTTGTCAGTTGGGTTCAGCTGTCCCGGCTGTGTCCCCTCCCAGCTTCTTCTGCACCCCCAGCCTGCTCACTGCTGGAGTGAGAAGGTGAAAAGGCCTGGACTCTGTGTAAGCACTGCTCAGCAACAACGAAAACATCCCTGTGTTATCAACACTGTCTTCAGCACAAATCCAAAACACAGCCCCATACTAGATACTGTGTGGAAAATTAACTCTATCCCAGCCAAAAGCAGCACAGAAACACTCTGTAAACCCCCTGGAGCCGCATCTTCATGGGATGAAGCGACTTCAGTCCAGGGTGACAAACTGAATGGCATGGAGAAACCCCTCCTGCACTGCCTTTGGTGACAGCTGACATCTCTTTCACATCATGAGAATGGCCCTGACACCTCTTTGGGACGTATCTCAACAGCTTTATAC